TTGTCTTCCTGCATTGGAGCGCCACTGTCGCCTACTATGTTGATGATCAGCTGTGAGATGTCTCACCACATCCTGGATACACCTAACTATGGAACACGCCTAATATCAAAATCTGAACGCCCTCCTTTCTCCCCTCTCATGCCTTTATTCTGTGTGGCACTTATCAGAGCCCCTAAGGCAGCAGCCTCTGTTTTTTTTTTTTTTTAAACCTTTGCTCTTTCTTCCTTATATAGCTTGACGCCCAAAGTTTGCTGTTACTATTGTTTCTTTACTAACTTCTAAAATGATTGTTTTTAAATAGATAATCCCACTTACTGTGTTTTGTTTAGTATAATGTGGAAATAACGATATCTGGCAACAATTACTACAAACAAATGTCTTCTTTCTTAAATATGATACTATTTAATGGATGGTAAGCACTTTTGTAGCCGTTTAACATTGTGTGTGAAAATGGCTTCTTAAATAAATTCAAAGATAGCAAGCTATAACTCGGCATTCATTATAATTGTTAAGTTGTTAAAAATCAGAAGAAGGTGGTTTGATAATGTTTCAAATTTCACACCAAAGATGTTTTTTAGACAATCAATAACTTTTATACTATTCATTTTCTTTAAAATCGAGGAGATAAGAGAATAGTTTTTTATAACTTTATTTGTAGATATTTCTCCAAGTCTGAAATGGCCAGGAAATTACAATTTGCTTTCCAAATACTGATTTCTGAACCATAAAACAGTCTAATTGAGGTCTTAGATTAAAATTTTTAATCAAAAAATGAAATTTGTTTTTTCTCAATTTTTATTATTTTATTTATTTACATTCCTGTCGTTGCCTTCCCTCTTGGTTCCTTCCCCACAGTTCCTCATCCCATTCTTCTTCCCCCTTGCTCCTGTGAAGGTGCTCCCCCACCACTTCCCCCCTTCCTTGGGGTCTCAAGTCTCTTGAGGATTAAGAGCAATCTCTCCCCCTAAGACCTGACTAGGAAGACCTCTCCTGTATTTGTGCCAGAGGCATTGGACTGGACCCTGTATGCTCCTGGTTGGTGGCTCAGTCTCTGGAAACTCCCCAGGGGGTGGGTAAGTTAAGACTGCTGGTCTTCCTCTGGGATCCTCCCCTTCAGCTTCTTCAATCCTTCCCATAATTCAACCACAGGGGTCCCAGACTTCAGTTCAATGACTGGGTGTAAATATTCGCTTATGTCTCAGTCAGCTGCTGGTAGGGCCTCTCAGTGGACAGCCAAGCCAGGCTCCCCTCTGTAAGCACACACTAGTGTCAGTAATAGGTTAGGCCTTGGTCCCCTGACTTGAGATGAATGAGTTGGTCATTGGACCACCTTCCCTTCAGTCTCTTCTCCATTTTTGTCCACGCAGTTCTTTTAGACAGGAACAGTTTTGGGTCAGAAATTTTGACTGAGATTTAGTAACCCTGTCCCTCTGCTTGAGGCCGTCTAGCTACTGGAGGTGGGCTCTTTGAGTTCTCTCTCCTCAATGTTGGGCATTTCGACTAAGGTCACCCGCATTGAGTCCTCAGAGTCTCTCGCCTCCCAGGTCTCTGGTACTTTCTAGAGGGTCCCTCCAACTCTCTTCCCCTGCTGCTTATTTCCATTCATTCTCTTGGCCTGCTGGGCTTCTCTCTTGTCCCCCCCTTCCCTGATCCTGTTCCCCCTTTTCCCTCCCCCCCCCCTCTCCCAACCCGGTCCCCCCCCCCCCCCGCCGCGTTGTGAGCATCAGGTGAAAGTAATTCATCAAATTATTTTTCTTAAACTCCAGATGTTCTCTCTGAAGACCGGTGTTCCTCGTGCGTCCTCTCTTTATCCAATAGTCCATGAGACACGCAAACACAAGGGCACATGGCTACAGATAAACACAGAAAGTTGTCTAATGACCCGAATCATGATGCTGATAAATGATAAGTTATATATACACACCTCTGATGGAACCAGTCTCTGATTATCCCCGGTATTTATTCAGAGCCCCACGCTGTTCCCTTTGTGAAATTTATTGTTTTCCACCATCCACGTAGAAACCTGAACCATACTGCTCTAACATCGAGTGTGCGCAGTCAGCAGGGCATTCTGTTCAGTGTCTCAGGGAGCCATTTGGTCCTTCAGTGGCTCTGGGTCGAGACTTAGCATGGCCTTGGACTGACTCATTATACTCAAATCTATGTAAAATAAAAGAACAGTGTGAATGAGGAGACGACACATGCCCTGAGGGAAATCAAAGAAAATAATTAGCAAAAAGCGTTAACATACATGTCTTACTCAGAAGTACATAGCATTCCTGCTAATATTAAAAAGTCAAGCTAATTCTAGTAGCACTAATTAATTTTCCAACTGTCTTTAATTTTTTCCTTTGAGGTAGGCTTACCTTCTGTATCTTTTAGCATGGAGTCCACTGTGAAGACCAGGCTTACTCTGAACTTACAACTATCCTCCTGTCTCTCCCTCTGTAGTGCTATGCTGGGATCCTAGGCTTGTGTGCCCTTCATCCCTTATTTAAAGGGATCTATCTTATTTATTTGTCTGTGAACGTGTGTTCATGTGATCTTGAAAGCCAGAAGCAGAGCTTCAGCATCCCTTACTGGAGTTGAAAGGGTCCAAGGGCTTCCTGCCAGCTGTGCTAGAGTCACGTGCAGTCCTCTGGCCAATGAGAAGGGCTTTTAAGTAGTAGTTCTCTTGCTTATCCACTATTCTTAATCAGAAAAAAAATCACCAATGATATTTATAGAATGCAACATAGAAATTTCCAAAGGAGAATTAAAATTAAATTGACTGTAAACCCATTTAGAAGATTCTGGCTTAGGACTTACAAATAAACACATGCACCTGAGAAGGGGCAGATTGCTGCCATTGATAAGAGTCTCCAGGGCTAAATATTGGCTTTGCCATTATGACCTATACGACATCAGGCAGTTGTTGAATCCCTCTGTCCTTTAAATCCTGTATCTTGAAAGTTGAGTGGCAGTACTCATGTCACAGGACTTTAGGAGAATTTAATGCACCAGTATGAGAAACGTTTCCAGAATAATGCATGAAATTTGTGAAGCATATGTTAGGTTGACATTTATTATTTGTTATCTATAATCTCCCATGGTATCCAACTTTATCAAAATAATATGTTCTCTAAATGAGACCAGAACTGTCTTTCCAATGTAGCAGCAGTCCTTCAGAAACAAAGACTCTTTTAGATGTTTCTTGTGTGTTAGTCACTCAACTGAAAAGCACACACCACAGGTGGAGTCCATAGTATCACCTTGAGCTGTAAATAAGCTGGTGTTTCAGAATGTGATGGCTAGTCTCTTTTGGCAAGTAGATTTCCTGGCAGTAATCCTCCAAACACTTGTTCTTTTCCTTGTGAACACAGTCATCAGATCTTCAAAGATCTGATGACTGTGGCCTTTTTAAAGTGATGCTGAAGGGGTGAGTTCATGCATCCCGCTCAGTAAAGAAACCAGTTGACATGATGGCAAACCTTTGCATTTAGTGTCACTCAGAGATGTGAGTGTAGGAACTGAGAGCTGCAGAAATACGAAAGGATCTGATCCGGGTCAGAACAACACTGAGGACTTGCTTAAGTCTACTATGTGGCAGCAGATAGCTACCATTGGCTCAAGGATGCTTGTGCACTCATTTTATAATGTACATTAAGCATATTTAATGCTGGAGTGAAGATTACAGTTGTCTTGGTTGGTGTTCATCTGGTCTCACATCCATTCTCACCCATGCCCTCTCAGCTCTTTATCTCAGAGGCAGACATCTGAAGACTAAGGTTCCCTGTTCATCACGTAACTCTCTTAAGCTGTCTTATGTGGAAATATTTGTGTGACACCAGAATTGTGGAGAATGGGAGAGATAGCAGAGTCTTCCTAGCCGCCAATGGTGGCTCCATGTCCTTGAGATCTTGAACCACTGCATCTTAGCATTTTTCCTTTCTGGTACAGCCTTTAACCTGCTCTCCAGTTTGGCTTCCTAACTCTTCTTTTGCATTCATGACTATTTTCTCACATTAAATTCTTCTGGTATCTAGCATGAACTCTATCTTCTTACCAGTATTTTGAAAAAGAATGATGCTGTTTCCATCGATAGAGAATCTGAGTGGCCTTCCATATGCATGTAGATAGTTTGCAAACTTGTGTTTGTTTCAAAGCACGAGTGGTTAAACTATTATACTGCTCCCAAATGACACTATTTATTACAGGCATGAGAACATTTTCAATGATATTTTTCCTCTGCAACTGTCTGCAACATGGCAATACCTACTCATTACTGCTTAATGATCTGTCCCTCCAAATAGCTTCTGAGACTTCTTGAGAGCAATCATAAGGCAGTCTTGATGCAATTAAGACATGAACCAAACACTGATGCAACTAGGCATCAAGAGTGAGCACTGATTTTTGCTTTAACCAGAAGTTTCAGGGTTTCAATAGGACTATGCATTAAAGAGCTTCAAGCTGCCTGGTAAGACTTTGGTCAAAGCACGTGTCTCACGTGTAGAAAACTGGCATCTCCTGCAACTATCTCCTCATTCTCTATATATGTTTGGTGGAGGAAGTGACATTAATGTCATTCACTGCTGACTCTGTTAAAGGAAAAGCTGGTGTTTCCAGTTACTTGTTCTGCTTCTCAATCTAGAATTAGAACAAATCCAAAGTTATGAACTGGCTAGACTGCTGATGGTTTGTCTGTGTGTTAGTCTTGCTTTGCATGGAAAAAAACACATGAATGGGTAATGATCTTGATGTCTGGTTAAGTTTTCCTAGGAGGGCACATTCTATGTACCTTGAATGTAGGAAATAAAAGTGTACCTATATATGTCGGGCCTAACAGGTGGATTTCAGTACTGTCTCCTTTGATTTCTGATTGTAAGGAGCTGACAAATATGAAATCATTTGCTAAGAATCAAACAAGTCATTGTAGTTTCTCCATGTCCTTCTTCGGCTTGGTATTGGTTGAAAGTGTTTCAGCTGGAAGGCACCCAATAGGCTGTCTCTCACAGTGAGGTAATTTGAGGATTCTGGAAACAGGTCTTTTCATAAGACATTTGCTGCTGTGAATTTCTTTTTGAGTCAACGGTGAGAGCACCGTTTCCTAATGCTTCTTCATGTATGTACCTCCTACTTGGCCAAGGTAAAGCAAAGTCTTTGTTTCCTTAATTCAGTAGTACTGAATAGATGGAATGAACAGCATGCATTTTCTGACAATACAAACTGTGTGGATACTGAGTGTGAGTGAGCATGTTTATTCACTTTGTATAGAGTTATAGTCTCTTGTGTTTGAAATGTTATTAAGAACCCCCAAATGAAGGCTGCCCCTCCCTAGAGTTTCTGCTCAGTGAGTATAGAGTGTCAGTAGAGCAAGATAGTTACTGTTCTAGAGATCTGCTTCATCGTAAGCTCACCCACCTACTTAGCAATTGTGCACTGTATTCTTAAAAAGTTTGAGAGCAGACATTCCATCATACATCTTTAAAATAAACAAAGAAAATGGTTCAGAGTTGTGGCCACTTTTGCCCGAGAATTGATGTGGTGTGCTCCCATCTCTCATGTGAATGCAAAAGAGGGGGAGACATCACATTTTTTCTCTGCTTAATTAAAAGTACAGTGTGCTGTTTTTATGAGCATTGACGATTGATAGGGATTTATCTGTGATACGATGTGATCCCGGGAACGGGAGTTATTTTTTAAACAATGCTGTGTTAGCCAAGGACACTGTTCTCGTGGCTGTCTCTTGCACGTTTTCTCATTTAGGTTCAAAGTGTTCAGTAGCAGAACGTGACATGATTCCGTATTGGGTTACAGGGGTTTTGTTGAATCAGGGAACCGATGTCCCTTTGCCTTTGTTTCTCTATAGGCATGTTTAAAATGCGTCTGAAAAGGTATAATATTTTTTCACAGAGAAGGTGGGCACAGTAGAAGAAGGTGGAGGTTCATTTACTATAATTGAATCTGTTTTCAAGTGCCTGGCTTTATTTGGTTTATTTACAGTTAAGACACTTGTTTGTAAAACTTTTCTGACACAGCAAAAGTGATTTCAAGAGAATCTTCAAGGTGGTGACAAAAACTACCCAGATGATTATTACTTAGTGCTCACAAAAAAGAATATCCAGCGATCTTCTAGGAACTAGACCCAGTTTCTCTTGGCTGAAAAAAAATGAAAAATAGATATTTAGAATTGTTATATTTTAAGCCATGAAAGCTTGGACATGGGAGAGGAGTAAGTTCTCTCTTACTGATGGGCAGGTGACCAACCTGAACTCAGGCATGGGCAAGGAGGAACAGAAGGAAATGTTGGTGAGAGATTGTACTGTGGATGAGAAAAAGAGACAGGTGAGGACAGTTGAGAGTTTGATGTTTAATCTGTATTTGGTATAGACCTACATCATAAGATTCCTGTTTACTACCATTAGTCCCCTCCTATCATTCTTTCCAAAATCAATATCCAGCCCTCTCAGTTAAATGGACTTGAATTTTTATGTGGGAGCCTTGAGACTGGGGGTTTCATTTGTATGTCTGTTCAGAAGTGTCAAGATAGTCTCTATAATTCTCATCCATATCCTGTGAATTTTATTCCCTCTGTCCATAATAAATAAGTTGTACCTCAGTGTATGTGTCACAGTGTCTGTCTATCTATCTATCTATCTAACATCTATCCATCTATCATCCATCACTATATATCAAGCACAGTATAATATATATATAATTATAACTATATAACTATATATATATAACTATAACTAACTATAACTAACTAACTATATATATATATATATATATATATATATATATATATATATATATATATAATCTTTCCCAAGAGAAGTATAGGTACCTAGGGATCTGAGTTTAAGCATAAGCATCTTTCTCAGGTGATTGAGGCATCTTGAGCGACCTCAGTTTTCTATAGAACAGCAACCTTGTCTTGTTCTTTGTTGAGTCTTAGTGCTTCATGAAGTGACTGATACATAGTAGGTGTTCAAAAAGTATTTGTTGTAACTGCAAAACAATGGAGAGAACTAGAGTTATACAGAATTGCTTGGTGGTGACTGGGATTTGGAACTCTGTTAAATGTTTTGGATGTTTTTAAAAAATTAGAGCCATTCTGTATTAATTGTAGAATAGTCACTGTTCAGAGCATTTTCATACATTAGTGCTATGGATACTGCTTAGAAATCATATGGATATGCTAAAATAAATTTTATAGACTAAACATGAAATTAAAATACTTTGATGGTGATAAAAATATCCTACTTTCAAGACACAAAATAAGTAAAGTTTGATGAGGCTGGAACAGTTGAATAGAGCTCAATTTAATTTTTGCATAGAAATACTTGTACTGACATATTGCCTATACAGAGATGGACATGTTCACCCACATATAGTATATGGGTCATAAAGAACCACATCTAGTTCTCTGTTTAGGTGTCCGGTCTCTTCCTAAACTCTACATTTTCAAACAGAATTGTTAGATTTGTCCACAGGTGATAAACGTATTTGCTGTTTTTACTTAGGAAAATAGTCTGGTTACACAGACTTTGTTGGCTTAGTGAGGCAGAGATTTTGTACAAATACAATGGATGTCTTTGCATTTTTTGTTGTTTTTAGAATCACATTTAATCACATTAATGGCTCAATATAGCATAAGTTTGTTTGGGGTTTCTGTGGATCAGAAGCTGAGCATATTTTCTTGGGACTTCTACTCATAATGCCTCAAAGCGTCAGTGTTGTCATAAGTGGGCTTCATCCTTCTGTGACTTTGTGGAGCCAGTGAAAAATGAGGAATGTGATAGGAAGCCATTCTATTATTAGGCTATGTTATACTGCACAGTGGTGGGATAGATATTTTCATCATTCCAAGTCTTCAACAGGAGCTCTTCCTATAGGATTGCAAGAACTAAACTACTTTAGCTGTGGAGAAATTTGTGAGAGGGTAACATCATCAAGTCTGAGTCTCTCTTAAGAATGAAGATGACAAGGTGACAGTCACTATGAAAGCCACAGTCTCAGTGCTACAAGAATAAAGAAAGCATCAATGTCTTTGCATTATTAAAGGCAGAAGCCTTCAAGTGACTTCAAAGCAAATCACCTTGGTCTCATTTGCTTTGGCTAAAGAATTGAAAGGTTTATTATAACCATGTTGTCATTAGCTTACTTTCAGAGCCTAACAAGTTCAAGTTCAAAGGTTATCTTTAATATAACCAACCAATGAGCATAGTTATTTGCATTGGCTCTTTCACTAGAAATCCAACAAACCCAGTCTTCTCCTATTCAGATGTTTACAATGATAGAATAAAAAAGACCTTCCTAAATAATTGTATAATATTGAAGATACTGGTTAAATTGTTTCTATTCAAGAGATTGGGAGTGTGTGTGTGTGTGTGTGTGTGTGTGTGTGTATGTGTGTGTGTGTGTGTGTGTGAAATGAATTTTTGTGGTTGTGTGTATGGGTTTGTGTGTATACATAAGTATGTGTGCAGTGCACATGTACACATGTGCATATTATGAAGGCCTGTAAGCCATGCTGAATGTCTTCCTCTAGAATGATTCTGAAAGTGTGCCAGATTGGTACACTGCAGTGATCCTGCTGTTTGTGCCCTCCTAATGTTGGGATTATAGGAGTTGCAGAGAAGCCCAGCTTTTACTTGACTGCTAAGAATTCAAACTTAAGTCCTCATTCTTAGGGATCAACCTTTTTATCAACTGAACCTCCTTGCTGGACAGTTCAATACCAACTTTACACAGGCTGGAGTCATTTGGGAAGAGGTTACCTCGATTGAGAAAAACGTCCCAATGATATTGACCAATGATCTAGCCTGTAGTGCATTTTCTGGATTGACGATTGATATGAGAAGGCTCAGATCACTGTGGGTAGGGTAATCTCAGGGTAGGCAGTTTTGAGTTACATAAGAAAGCAGGTCTAGCACTTCATGAGGATTCAAGCAGGAAGTAGTGTTTCTCTGTTGTCTCTACATTGGCTCCTGCATCTAGGTTGCTGCTTTGAGTTCCTGCCCTGACTTCTCTCAGTGATTAACTGTGATGTAAAACTGTAAACTAAACTAAACTAAACTAAACTAAACTAAACTAAACTAAACTAAACTAAACTAAACTAAACTAAAATCAAATTAAACCAAACTAAACTAAACCAAACCTTCTCCCATTTAATTTGCTTTTGGTTCTGGTATTTTATCATAGCAATAGAAACCCTGATAAGACACACTAGCCCTAAGAGAATATTTGTTGTTTGTTGTTGTTTTATTTTTTCCATTTTTCTTTTGTTTAATGAATGACATAATACAGTTTAGTAAATAATTTAATAACTGTTTGCTTTCTTGAAAGGACAGCAGTAAGACTGTTTAAAGAATAGACATCTGGAAATAATCAGAAGAACAAAATGGGAGAAACAGAGAAAAGGGTTGCAATCCATCAGGTCAGATGCATTTCCAAGATCAAGGTATGGATTGTTTCTATGTATGCCTGTATTTACTCATGGAAGTCCTTTTAAGCAAGCACTGAAAGTTTGAATGAAGTTTTCCAACATGAAAGCCACTTTACCCAATATGTTGTTAATTCCTTGCCTTAAAGAAGTTGGTTTTATGTTTATAGATGTTTTACTATGATTATTCAGCCAAGAAAATTTATCAAAATGATTTAGAGCAGGGGTTCTCAACCTTTGGGTTGCTACCCTTTGGGGATGTCAAATGACCCTTTCAAAGGGGTCACACAGATATTTACATTACAATTCATAACAGTAGCAAAATTAGTTACGAAGTAGCAACAAAAATAATTTTATAGTTGCGGTCATCGCAACATGAGGAACAGTATTAAAGGGTCACAAGCATTAGGAAGGTTGAGAACTACTTATTTAGAGTGCCTTAAAGGAGGGTGGCGTTAAAAATGTTTTAGGTACATATTATTTTCTGGTGGAACTTAGCCCGAAATCAGAGGTCAATCCGATGCTCAGCCTTCAGGTCTTCCTGACAGAAGGTCAGAAGTCAAGGGTAGGAAAAGGTTCCTTGACAGAAGCACTCTGTTGATTAATATGAAAAGATGGGTTTATGACCCAGGCAGACAAGTATTTTCTTCAAGCATTAGCAACATAACAATCATTGTTTTTGAGAAAACTCCATTTTGTCGTCTGCTTTGGTATTTTTCAGTATTTTGGAGACATCTACTCTTCTCATAAGCTGCAAGGGTATCTTTACATCACAAAATGTGAACTTAGGGTTAAGTTTCCATCCCTTACATTAACCCAAGAAATTTGAGCATTGTCATAGTTTCTGTAGAGTCCCTCAAACATTCTTTTGCTAAGCTACCGTCTCCTATCAAAAACTATTTTTACCTTTATTCACATGTAATGGAATCCATATATTGATGTAAAAGAGGCTTCAGACTCCTGGAAAGTATTTTTTACCTAAAATGATGTCTGAATTATTGGAAGCCAACTACCCTCAGATTATCCTTCAGTTCTCACATGCTTCTGAGGAGACCAGATCCCCTGGCTGCCAACCTTCCCCGGATACTTATTATGTGTCATTTTGTGCAGTCTATGCAATCTATTTATACTCTAGTGTTTTCAATTGAAAAGGTATTGGTAGGCCAACTTTTTTTTTTTTTTTTTTTTGGATTTTGGAGACAGGATTTCTCTGTGTAGCCCTGGCTATCCTGGAGCTCACTCTGTAGACCAGGCTGGCCTTGAACTCAGAAATTCACCTGCCTCTACCTCCCAAGTGCTGGAATTAAAGGTGTACACCACCACTGCCTGGCGATAGTCCAAGGTTTTAAGATAAAAAACATTCCAAGAACTCTTTCTCTGTCTGTCTGTCTCTCTTTCTCCTTCTCTCTGTCTCTGTCTCTTTCTTTATCTCTCTCTGTGTGTGCTCGCCCATACGAGTGCCTCTGTGTGTGTGTGTGTGTGTGTGTGTGTGTATGTGTGTAGTGGCTGTGCCTCCCACTATGTCTGCATGTGTGGGTGCTCACCCTTCTGGGATATCCAGTACTACTGGTATGAGAGATAAACTTCAGGTGCTTATACATGCTAGACAACTCCCCTGTCTCTAATTTATACCTTCCCTTCCATCTTTAAGGTGTCTAAATTTCTCTAAATTTATGTTTTATTTTATGTATATAGATGTTTTGTCTTCACATATGTTGGTGTAACAGTTGTGTGTCTGCTATATTTGGAAACCGGAAGAAGGTGTTGGATCCCCTGGAACTGGAGATGGTTTTGAACCATGATGTGGGTGCTGGGAACTTAACCCCAGGTCCTCAGAAAGATCAGCTAGTGCTTTAAATTGCTGAGCTGTAAATCCAGCCTCAAAGTTAGGATAGTGATGAGTATTGTAATTATTGGTTACTAGTATTTATAGCATGTGTAGAGAAACATCATAAGGTATTATTACAAACAGTACTTCTCAAGTTCATCTTTGGTTACTGTCTTAGTTAGGGTTTCTATTGCTGTGAAGGGACACCATGATCATTGTAACTCTTGTAGAGAAAACTAATTGAGGATGGCTTAGAGTTCAGAGGTTTCGTCCATTATTGTCATGGCAGGAAGCAGGGTGGCCTGCATGCTGACATAATGGTAGAGATGGAGCCCAGCATTCTATATGCAGATCAGTAGGTATCAGGAAGACTGGGGCACTGGGTCTGGTTGGAGCTTCTGAAATCTCAAAGTCCATCTCTAGTGACACACTTCAACCAAAAAGGCCACACCTCCTAACATTACTACTCCTTGGTGGCCAAATATTCAAATCTATGAGCTTATAGGGGCCATGTCTATTCAAACCACCACTGTTACTTTACTTGGGAGTTTAACAACAGTAGATATTTGTGTGTGTGTTACGGGAAAATGTTAAAGCACAGGTTTTCAAGAAAAAAAAAACCTTATACGTAATTGTTTAAAAATAGATTTCTGTCCTCTGAATTTAGAACTATCTGGAATGTTAAGATGATCAAAAGGTTTACAGAACTATATTGAAACTTTTACCTATTAAGCTTAGACATGTAATCATTAAGGAGTCTCCCAGGACAGGGGAAATCATGACTTTCATGGTCTTCAGCAATGTATACACTGATGACCTCACTATGTACCAATGTTTAGGTCTAAACCAACAGCTACACAGGTGGCCCTGGTTAAGCTACCTGAGTTAAAGCAAAGCAAAGCAAAGCAAAACAAAACACAACACAACACACACACACACACACACACACACACACACACACACACACACAAACCAAACAAACAGTAACCCCCCAAACTCATAAATCTTGGAAAAGCACTGCTAGGGGTGTGGGTATTTTGGGGAATGGGGGAGGAGAAGAGAAAAAGAAAATAATAACCCAAACATACCATTTATGTATGAAAGCACCAATCAGTAATTTTAATCAATAAAAACCATTAAAGAAAAGAAGGGACAATTTCTTAAGGAGCCTAGGGAGATGCCTCGATCAGTAAAGTACTTTCTTTGGAAGTAGGAGGTTCCGAGTTCAGTCTCCAAAACCTACACTAAAAACGTATTATATGACTTTAATTTCATCATGAAGAGATGGAATTGGACAGATATTTGGAACTCACAAATGAGCCAGCCTTGCCTCCTGGGTGAATTCCAAGCAGTTGAAAGTGAGTCCCTGTTTTTTTTTTTTTTAATGCATACAATTGTTGAGGAATAATACCTGTAGTAGTCTTCTGGTCTCCCCATGTACATATGTATACATGAACTTGTCCCAAACAAACATACACACACCTACACATAAAGAAATGTTGAAAAAAGGAGGAAAAGAAAACTTCCCTGGGAAGCAGGAAAAGACTGCTCCAAAGGAGTTTGCTTTAGACTCTAGAGTACTGAGGTAAAACGTCAGTAGAATTAGCTTCATGAACACAGATGTTATATAGCAGGAAACTTGAATATGCATGGCCACTGGTTTCTTTTATTTCTGCACAGAACCAAGTACTTTAGAGTATGAATAGTGTGCTCACTACTTATTTAGCTTTTTTCTCTCAAAATATAAATAAAATAAATGATCTTCCCAATTCTGATCATTTTTAAATGTAGTAGAACTTGCTTTTAAATATAGGACCTGAAATATGAAACTCATGTGAAATATTATCCATATTCTCTGAAAGATTGACAGTGGGAACAGAGAACATCTCTGTAAATGGGATTTAGAGTTAGAAGACAAATATCTACACTTTTGAACTGTACTGAACATGGCATCCACATTTTCCAAATCCCTTTTTTTTGCATATGTTTCTGCTCCTAGATTAATTGTTATTTGTGACAATAAATTTATGAGCGAAAAGTACTAATCTAACACAAAATAATTTGAGTATGTAGCCACCCTTTATTCTGCATCTAAGGAACCCCCAAAATGTTCTTCCCTGTGCCATTACCATCACCTGGGCTGTTCAGGTAAGGTGTTACAAAGAATATTGCACCAAGAAAAAAAAAGGAGATCAATTTGCTGTGGCCATTGCCCCCAGCAGTGAGACTGTAGCATTTTGTGCTCAGAAATGAAAAAACAAAAAAGCAAAAAAACAAAAAAACAAGAGGACAAAGTGTTGAACTGGGCAAGGACATCCAGAGACCTGTCATTCCTGCTTAAAGAACATAGTAGATTTGCTGCAGACATAATGCCTTGGTGTATTTCTTTGTTCTTTTCCTTTTTTCTTTAATAGAACACTTATCCTGCAGGTAACAGTACAGTGCTGAAGACCAATCAATACCTGTGTCTTATGTAGAACAACTCCATGTCTTTCTGCATGCATAAGGTACACTGACAAAATAGCAAAGCCATACCTATCAACAACACAACTGTTAACCAGCTCTTGTGTGTGTGTCCAGAGCGAGGACAGCACACCAGATGGGAGATTATACTTCAAAGTTTCTTGCATGTTAAAGGGTTGTTTATGTTGGATATGGTCATCCATCTCATGGTGGAGGCTGTTTTGTCTGTAGATGACAGACATATAATCAAAAAACAATGTTCTCATTTTTCTTAAATATTTTTCTTTCTAGATGTTTCTGTTGGCATTAACATGGGCATATCTATCCAAATCACTATCAGGAATTTATATGAACACCATGCTCACACAAATAGAGAGACAATTTGATATCCCCACATCTATAGTTGGATTTATTAATGGGAGCTTTGAGATTGGTGAGTTATTTATACATTTACTTATTTTTATATGTTGACATTTCTCCTCATTTCCTGAATTATGCTGTTTAACCTGACTGAGTTACATGCTTCTTGATGTTGATGAAATAGCCTGATTTAGCCACTTACTTAAACATCCTCATGATGGCAACTAATTATTGTTACATACCCTGACAAGGTCCTTCTTTTTCTGACAAGTGGCAGAAGATTAAGAACAACAATATCTAATTCTATCATTGATAACGCAAAGAGAAGCTAAGAGTTTTTCCTTGGCAATTTAGAAGATTGCTTTGGGAGACTTGGAGGACTTGTGTTCCATAGGAGAGAGAACAAATATTTCTTGTCCTCTACCGTCTCTGTGAGACTGATGGCTCTCCACTCTTAGTCCTTAGAGAAAATAAGGATTCTTTCCTGTGTTTGAGTTGTGTCAGGCACAATTTCAAAGAAGGGTGAAAGAACTTAACATCCCTTGATTTGGGTGATAAACTGAGATATGAGAGTACCAAGGGTGAAAAAGAGAAACATTCCCTCTATAAACCAAGTAAACAGAACGCTTGGTGTCTCTTGTCTCTAGTTTAATCATAGTTTTTACTTTCCTCAAAGTGAAATTGTCTTTAAAATACTTAAAGTAAAACAGCAAAGAAAGTTCTCACTAAGTTACCCAGGATTACCTTGACCTCAGTCTGTAGCCTAGGCTGACTTTGATCTTGCAATCTTCCTTTCCTGGCCTTTTAGTAGCTAGGAAAGGCCGGTTTGTGCTACCAGGTCCCACTCATTCTTTCAACTCCCAGACATACTTATCAAAGTATCTCTGTCAGCATGGGGCTTCCCAGAAGTTTTGTTAACCAAGCTTTCTCATAAACTATGAAGATGAATGTTTGGTTTGACCATTTGACTCCTGCAATGTAGACCTAAGGCCTAGTTGGGGCATTAGGACTCTGAATAGTATGATGTCATCTTAGGGAAGAAGTGACAATAGAAGCAGGTATCCAGCTTGGCCGTGCTGAGCAATGAAGGTGGTTTTAAATAAGAAGCTAAAAAACGTAACCCATTTTAATCTGCATAGAGCAGGCATGAGAGGAGTGTTCAGAGGTGACATGAGGCCTACACTAGCCTAGCTTTTGTGGATGATCCTGAATAGAGCTTTAGTATTCTTCAGAGAGGAAGAGATTCTTCCCTCAGGACCACAATTGCTTTGTATATTAAAACAAGACACAAAACATCCTAAGCACCCATCCCCATCTTAATGTGGTTGTGAAACAACGAATTCTAGAGCCTAAAAGCTGGAGAGGCTGTTGACTAACAGCTGCCAATTTTTACTAAAACATGCATTCTCATTTCCCTCTTCCAGGAAATCTTTTGTTGATCATACTTGTGAGTTATTTTGGAACAAAACTGCACAGACCTATCATGATTGGTGTTGGATGTGTGGTTATGGGCCTTGGGTGTTTCTTAATGTCATTACCTCATTTCCTCATGGGCAGGTGAGTATTCTAGTTCTTGATGATGTTTTAGATTCAACTTTAACCTACAAGAAATGAGGCTCAGAAATTCCTCTCTGAGAAGATAAGTGCTCCCCCAAAGTACAGAAAGCTAATTCGAAATTAGGAGAAGTGGTCTCTAGTCAGCCAATATGACATGTGACTCTTGTGGCCTTGGGGCCATTTAAGGACCCATCCAGCCTGTTTGTGAAGTCGGAACTTGCTCCACCTCTTTCATGAAGTTGAGACACACGATTGGATTTTCTGAATCTGCAAAGCCTTGTGCTGAGTCCTTTCTCAGGGCTATTTTGATACTTTGGTAACCAGGGTTCTACATTTTGACATTATTGTGGGTCACCAGGAAATAAATCAATGCCAAGGCTGATTTTTATTCTCATCTTTGCCACAGTAACTTACACAGAAAATTGTAAAAGTGAAAGTATGTTCAGTTATTTCTTATTCTCATTTCGATTTTCTAGTGACAGTTTTCAGTTCTTCTGTTTGTCTTCATGTCTTGTTAGTTTTTAATACTTAAATGATATACTGAATTTACAACTTATATTTTCAGGACTATGAAATGTTGCCTACATAAAATAATGCTGTTTTTTGTCATAGAACTCAATTTCTACATAGATTTAATATTTAGCACATCATACACACACACACACACACACACACACACACACACACACATATTTCATTTGACTGGCTTTGTGTCTCTTGATATGGCACAAGTCCCTCATTGCCTTTCAGTGTGACATTCCCTAATACAGGTCATGAGTTTCACTGTTGTCCTGGGGATACCTCTTGCTGTTGTCTTCCATACTCTCCTGCCTCAGAACTATGAACCTCTAGGTCAGCTCACTGCCATTTCATTGGAATTCTCCATCGTTCTTTTCCTTATGAATTTGTTTTTCTTCCTTCCCCCCTCTTCCTCCTCTTTTTTGTTATTTCTTTTCTTTGTTTTGTTTTTAAGGTCTCTTATCTATTTTATATGCATGCATGTTTTACCCGTATGTAGTATGTATTTATGTGCTCCAACTGTATGTCTTGTGGCACACAGAGATTCAAAAAGTGTGTAAGATTTCCTGGACTGGAGACTCAGATGGTTGTTAGCTACCTTGTGGTTTCTGGAAAATTAACCCAGGTCCTTTCAAGAGCAACAAGTGCTTTTAACCACCTAGCTATCTCCTTAGCCATCCCCTGCACCATTTGCTTTTCTTTTTGAGACAGGGTCTTGCTATGTATCTCAGGTTTGTCTGGAATTTAATATGTGGCTAAGACTGGCCTTAAACTTGTGGTGATCCTCCTGTTTCAGTCTTCCGAGTGATGCTATTACAAGAACAAGCCATAACAATGACCTTGCTTTGTCTCTATCTTGCTCTTAAATATTCACTGGAGGAGTAGCCTATCATCTGCTTTCCTGTTTAAACTCCCACAGTTCGTTCCTTAGAGAAAAAAAATTCTCTATGTACTTTGAAGACATTGTCTCAAAGTTTGTGGGGGTTGAAATTAGAATTAGTATTCTAAAGCCTATGTCCAGTTTATCACTCTCGTGACAGGTTTCCTTTTAAGTTCCACAGTCTGGAATTGGTAATTATTGGTATAAATCCCTTGACACTTCATTCATATGCCTTCTGTCAGGACATTTTATGAAGTTTCTTGTCTTTTTTTCTCTTTCATACTATATTCTTTCCTTCCTCCCTTCCCTCTTCCTTCTGCAGCTGCTGTTTGGGCAATGGAACTCTAAGTTTTATTCATATCTTGCCATCTTCACTTCTAACTTCATGTCTTCTCATCTCCTTGCTGCCTCCTGGGAGATTTAACTTTGTCATCCAGTCTCTAGAGTGGGCTTTTCACTCATATTATCATATTTATAAATTTTGGTTGTCAAGAAAACCTCTCCACCTCGAATATATCTTCTGAGGGAACATCCTGTTATTTTCTCAAGAATTCACTGTCTTTTCCTGTGTGACTCTTTCTATCTGTCTTCATTGTCTCTGCCTCCTTCAAGTTTGGCTTATGTTTCTCTTCGACTTTATTGTAATAGAGTTTCCTTCAAGATTTTCTTGGTTGTTTATTCCTATCTAAAAGACAATAACAACAGAGAGCTAACTGGGAATTCTGTATACACACACACACACACACACACACACACACATACATATATACATACACACACACAAATATATATATATATGTACATGTATATGTATGTACATATATATGTAGATATATATACTTGGTTAATGGGAGTCGTTTTTGTCTTCTGTAGCATGAGTCAATACGTGGTTGAGGTAGACAGGCTAATTTTTAGCTGTTTGGGAAACATGTGTAACTTGTGATCCTAGGCAGGAATTCTCTACTCTTGAAAAGTGGTAGAAACTTGGCTACAAGCCAGAAAAGGAATGGGATTATCACCTTTTAGTGTTCAAAGTTTTTTAAAAATGTAACGATCCTCCTTTGGGGCCTCTGTGTCCTCAGTTTCCCTGTTTGGATCCTCTTGTACCTGTGAGCATATCTACTTGAAGAGAAGAAAGACAAGCCTGGGGGTCACTTTGGACTTTGCCTTGTGTGCCTGCATTGGGAGTGTCTTCATGCAGCTTCCAGGGAGGCCAGGAACATATCCTATTGTTCCCGCAGCATGATGCTTATGGTTACATTACTTTTGAGTCAGTCCCTGTCTCAAATTTTATTGAGCTTAAGTTGACTATTTGTTATACTTTCAATCTCTCATTTAAATTTTTAAAATTACTTTTAGCTTTGTCCCTTAGGTGGAATCTAAGTCGTCAGGCATCTGGTATCTCATGAGACTCTTTTTTGTTTGTTTGTTTGTTTGTTTGTTTGGTGTTTTGAAAACAGTCTCATGTAGCTCAGGCCTCAAACCCACTTTGTAGTTAAGGTTATTCATTCATTTCTGATCCTCTTGCCTGCTGAGTGCTGAGATTACAGACATTCCCCAGCAGGTCTGATTTTACTGGATGCTCAGAGTGCACAGGAGGATCAAACCCAGGATTGGTGCCTGCCAAACACCAATGACCAACTAAGCTACGTCTCCGTATCTGAATCTCTTTATATTTGTGGAAAGAGATGTTTCCCCTTTTCAGTCTGAAATCTTTTATCTTTTTACTGCCTTTTTTTTTGTCATTTGGGGGAACAAATGGACCTTAAATGAATAATTCTATTTTAAGTGAATAATGGACCAGATGAAGGGTGTTTTATCTTCTCCAGTGATTTAAAAGGGAACTGAAAGTTAGTAGGTGGAGTTTTTAAAAGTATATTTTACTTTCTGTTCTATTCAAGTCAATATCAAGAAATACTTGACTAGTATTCTGTTTTTATGCCTTCTTCCAAAGGTGATAATTTTTTGACACTGTTCTAGTCTCTTGAGATCATGAGTAGAGAGACACAGACTCTTGTCTACAGTTCACTGGCCAACTCTGTGTGTACCTCCAGCTAACTGTTTTAAGAGAAAGTTATTTTGATTTTTTTATGCTGTATTGTGAAGCACAGAAATTAAAATGTTGACAAGTATAGCTCTCTACTCACACAGAATTCAGCAGCTTGTGTTTTCCCCTTGGTGTCTTTCATCTAAGAAAGTCTTAGAAATAAATTCAGCATCCTCTCCGATGGAGAGAGACTAAGATGGACACATTTTCCTCTATGTTTGCATTCTGTCATTTTCTTTCTAGGACAATGATCTTTGGTGATTTGCTTAAGATTAATGATCATAGTTCATTAGCACTTTTGGTCTCATGACACTGTGTTGTTCAGGTGATGTATTTTGTCACCTGTCATTATGATGTGTATATTTTTCTTCTGTTGAAGTCATTGAAAAACATGGAAGATTATTTGAATTCACAGAAAGGAACGATGGAGTTACAGCTCAGAGAGCCCAGGGCAGGTGCCTTGTTTTGTATTGTTTATATCTCTCTAAAGATTTTGTTTTCTTAATTCTACTTCATTGTGTCTCTCTTTTTTTTCTTGCTTTTGTTTTTGAGACCAATTATTCCTAGGAAATAATCATATAGAAACCACAGAAAGTTGATGGTACAGAATCTGAAAGTTACTTTACTTTCATGTAGGGACTTGAGAGCCAAATGTAGGGCCACATTTTTGGTGATTATCAATCTCTTTTGACAATACTGATTACTTAGTTTTCATTTTTAAATTTTTTTTGGGGAGGGGTTAGAGAACAGTCTTTCATGAAACCCAGGCTGCCTTCCAACTTCCTATGTAGCTGAGGGTGGCTTTGAACTTCTGATTCTCTCATCTCCACCTCTTAAATGCTTCGGTAACAGTCATGGACCACCACACCCAGTTTATGCAGCTCTGGAGCTTAAAGCTAGAGCCTCATGTCCAGCCTAATGATAAAGATTTCCTCCCTCTCTCATCTATCTTCTTCTTCATCATTATTTATCATCTATCTATCTATCTGTCTGTCTATCTATCATCTATCTATCTATCTATCTATCTATCTATCTATCTATCTATCATCTATCTATCTATTTTCTATCTATCTATCTATCTATCTATCTATCTATCTATCTATCTATCTATCATCTATCTATCTATCTATCTATCTACCATCTAACTATCATCTATCTATTTATTATCTATCTATCTATCTATCAATCAATCTACTATCTATCTGTGTGTCTGTATATATGTGTTTGTGTTTATGCATTTGCATGTATGTATGTATGTATGTATGTATGTATGTATGTATGTGTACATGTGTAAATTAGAGGACAACTTTATGCAGTCATACTTCCATGAGGGTTTCAGGGACTGAACTCAGGTCATCAGTCTTGTATAGCAAGTGCTTTACCTGCTGCATCATCTCAGTCGTCCCACCATAGGATTTATGATGATTAACTGCCTGTTCTGGAAATGTCTTTACTGGCTCTGGATGCCCTGTTTTCAGGGAAGCAGGAATCAGTAATCTGCAGATGCTCTCCTTGTACTCACCTCCTCACAGTGAATGTTTCCTGTGTCCACACAGATATGAATATGAAACAACGATTTCACCTACAAGCAACTTGTCCTCAAACAGCTTCTTGTGTATGGAAAACAGATCCCAGACCTTAAAGCCAACGCAAGACCCAGCAGGTTGACTCCTGCTTCTCACTGCTTTCTGTTCAGACACTTGGCCACAGAATGCTCTTTAATGAAGGGCTTTAATAGGACACTGGGTTTAGTAGATGTTTAAGACAAATGAACGAAGTTTATTTCCTTCTTCAGAGAAGGGAGATGTCTAATAACCTAGAATGCATTCCCTACTTAGTTTGAATATACTTATTAAAAATCCTTTGTTTCCTAGGCAACGTTGTAGAATTAGTCTCCCAAGGAAAAATCACTTAGAAGGATACATTTAGACATAGGATGTGATCTATGTATTGATCTACTTGGTTTTCTGTTGCTGTAATAGAACACTGACTAAAAGCAACTTATATAGCTTACCAATTATAGTCTACTATGAGAGAAGCCAAGCCAAGGCCGACAAAAGCAGTAACCACTAAGGAATGCTGCATTTTGTCTTGCTTCACTGGCTTGCTCACCTATGTCTATTATAAAGCTTAGGCTCACCTACCCAGGGGTATTGCCATCCACAGGTGTTGTATTAGTTATTTTTATATTACTGTTATTAAAATCTAAGGGGAGAACTCAAGGGAGGAAATCTTTGTCTTCTCTCACAGTTTTAGGGGGTCAATTGGTCCCATGTTTATGGACAGAGTATCACAGTGGCATGAGTGTTGGCTGATACTGGTCTTTACTTCTTGGTGAACAGGAAGAATAGCAAACGAGATGCAGGAAGTGGTGAGATATAATCTCTGTGAACATGCAACCCTCATGACCAACTTCTTCCAAATAGGCCTACCTCTTACCTTTCAGTACTGCTCAATAATTTAAGTCTCATGACTGTATCAAAAAACTAGATCTTTGATTATGTCAGAGCCATGATGGCCTGTATCTGGACATGCCCTCACAGACACAGCCAGATGCTGTGTAAATGTACTGCATGAATTAGTTACTTCTCTTTTACTGTAATAGACACCGTGATGAAAGGAATCTATAAGGCTGGAGAGATGGCTCAGTGGTTAAGAGCACTGACTGCTCTTTCAGAGGTCCTGAGTTCAATTCCCAGCAACCACATGGTAGCTCAAAACCATCTGTAATGGGATCTGATGCTCTCTTCTGGTGTGTCTGAAGAAAAATACAGTGTACTTATATAAGTAAAATAAACAAATTTAAAAAAAAGGAATCTATAAAGGAAAAGTTCATTTGTATTTATAGTTCTAGATCAGTGGTTCTCAACCTTCCTAATTCTGCAATGCTTTAGTATAGTTCCTCAGGTTGTGGTGACCCAAACCATAAAAATACTTTTGTTTCTATTTCATAACTCTAATTTTGCTACTGTACTGAATCGTAGTGTGACTATCAGATATTTCTGAGGGACTTAATTGACATACTAAGTGTCTAGAGAGATGGAAAGCAATCATAGTAGGGATGCATGGTAGTAAGTGCAGGAAGATTGGAGCTCACCTTTCAGCTATTAGCATCAGACAGAAATAGAACAGTCTGGAAGTAAAGTGAGGCTTTAAGGTCTTGAAGCCTTAGCCTGGCAGTGGTGGTGCACGCCTTTAATCCCAGCACTTGGGAGGCAGAGACAGGTGGATTTCTGAGTTCGAGGCCAGCCTCGTCTACAGAGTGAGTTCCAGGACAGCCAGGGCTATACAGAGAAACCCTGTCTCAAAACAACAACAACAACAACAACAAAAAGATCTTGAAGCCTGTCTCTGATGGCATTTTTCCTAAACTTCCCAAACAACACAACCAACTGGAGACTAAGAATTTAATACCAGAGCCTCTGGAGGGCATTTCCACTCAAACCACCACAGTATTCATACAGAGGGACAGCTTTGGTTCTAGCACTGACATCAGGGTGCTCACAAGCACCTGTTAAGTCCAGTCCTAGGGAATTTGATGCCCTATTCTGGCCCTCTTGGGCACTTCTAGAACTGACTCAGCCGAATCACCTCAGGTCAGAATATCTCCATTTTATGCTGGAACATAGAAACTCTGTGACTTGGACTGTCACTGTCCTCAGGAAATTTATGGAGATCAAAATAACTTCAGAGTCAAAGAGCAGCCATGTCTGTAGCTCTGAGCCACAGAAGTCTCATAAGCACAGCAACATGGATCAGTGACACATGCTAGCATCTCACCTCCTGATTAGACAGTAACCTTCATGGTAGCTTTTGCAGCTCTTGATCTGATTTCTTTCATTGCAGTTCATGAATTAAGATTCTCCCCAAGTGGAGAGCATCAGAAAAGCACTTGATCCTTTTAGTATCTGATATTTTCTGCTTTACTTTAGAAGAAGGTTCAGCATCTCCCTGTAATCTCTAGACAGAAACCATCTTGTTTATCAAAGATAAGAATCTGAATACCTAGACATAGAAACTGATTTTATAGAACTAGGAAAGGCTAAGAGGCAGACCTCCTTGCCCAGTTGTACTTAAGACATATATGGGCAATGCTGACCAATCCACAGGACTTCACTTTGTCCTTCACTTCCCTGAAAACATGATGTCACAGCTTCATTTAGCTGTGACAGTTCATTTGGCTTTGAACAAACTTGGGAAGTACATGCAAACCTTCAAAGATTTCTCCTTTCACCTTTCAATTCTCTTTGGCTTAGTTTTTGTTATTCCACCTGCTACCCCAACTGTTGGAATTATTTGGTTGATTTTAAATGGTGGACTCTCTATAAAAATATATGTTTACTAAGCAGTTAAAATCTTTAGTTTCTACAAAGTAATTGAGGCTGCAGGGAATTCAAACTTCCATCAAACCTCAGTCTGTGTTGTGTAAATACAACATGAATTGCCAGACACGCACAGACACACACACACACACACACACATACAAACACACACTTGCTTACTTTTTCTTCCTCAGAGTTGTGAAGGAATGAGGCAGTACACATATTAACTAACTGGGTTGCCTGGCTGGTAGAAAACTGAGTCCCTTGAGGTGAGGGAAAGTCTTTGTTTTTTACTGTTGGCTTATTCTGATGGTGTACATACTTTCAACCAATGTGTTGCCACTAAACACTGAACTGGGAAGAGTTATCTATCTTTAGAGTCCTGTCTTCCATTTGAGTGGGAATTGGGTCCACCATAGCACTTCCACTCCATTGGTTAGAATTCTTTCAAATTAAACAGTCAGAGTGACTCATTGAGTCACAACCAGCATAGTATTATAAGTCACTGAATGGTCATAAGCTTGTAACTTGAGAAACATTTGCAGAAAAATTTAAACTGCCAATAACAGTTTAAATACTGTCAAAATACACGTGTATTTTTCTTTTGTTTTAATGTAGAATGTGTGAAAGAAATGAAAACACTAATGTGGATATATGTACTGGTAGGAAACATTATACGTGGAATTGGTGAAACTCCCATCATGCCTTTGGGTATTTCCTACATAGAAGATTTTGCCAAATCTGAAAACTCTCCTTTATACATTGGTAAGTTTGAAAGTCATTCTTAGCATCATTTTTAGGACAGCAAGTTCTTGGAGTGTAAAAATTGAGTATTGATTTGGATGTTTTGTGGTTTCTAGAGGGTGGGCAGAGTGTTATGGCTCTGTAGGTCGTGAAATTGTTCAATGGATTGATTAGTAGCGCCAGACAAGACATTCATCTAGCTACTTCTCACTGTTGGAGAACCTCTGATCTGCTGATCCTAGTCTTTTTATGCCACCACACTGTCTCTAAACTATTAACAGATTCTCCAATATTTCCTGGAAAATGTTCTTAAATTCATTTGTTTTTTTCTATTTTTACTGCTTTTAGGTTTTTATCTATGAGGTATTGCAATTTCATTATTGGCCATTTTGTGTCTATAGTATTTTGAAATATAATTTTACATTTTTACTCTCTCTCTCTCTCTCTCTCTCTCTCTCTCTCTCTCTGTGTGTGTGTGTGTGTGTGTGTGTGTGTGTGTTTTACTTGCATGCCAGTGTGGTGGTCAGAAGACAGTTCTTGGGTGTTGGCCCAGGAATTGAACTGTTGTGTTGGGTTCAGGTTTGGTGGACACATGCCTTTTCCTGCTGAACCATCTGACTCTCCATGCTGTGTTTTCTCTTGTTGTGTTCTCATAAATATTCTGTGCAGTCACCAAAGGCAGATGGTGATGTGGATGCCAGGAAGTGCATGCTGACAGGAAACTGATATAGCTGTCTCCTTAGAGGCTCTGCTAGAGCCTGACATATACAGAGTCGGATGCTCGCAACTAACCATTGAACTGATCACAGGGTTCCAAATGGAGGAGTTAGAGAGAAGACTGAAGGAGCTGAAGGGTTTGTAGTCCCGTGGGGAGAGCAACAATACCAACCAACCAGAGCTTCCAGGGTCTACACCACCAGCCTGGGAGCACATAGGGAGGGAATCATGGCTCTCGCTGTATATGTAGGGGAGGATGACCTTGTTGGGCATAGGTGGGAGAGGAGGTCCTTTGTTCCGTGAAGGCTGGATGCCCCAGTGTCGGGGAATTCGTGGGTGGGGATGTGGGAATGGGTGGGTGGGTGGGGGCACACACTCATAGAAGCAGAAGATGGGAGGATGGGATAGGTGGTTTGGGGGGGGCTGGGGGAAGAGGATAACATCTGAAATGTAAATAAATAAAATATCCAATAAAAAAAGGTGGAAGAAAACATTCTTACAGAGTAAGCCTTACGGAATGCTGTTTTAATCATGTCTTGTCTATCATGTTCACCATACCAACTGGTTTCTTATTGACCACTTTACTTTTACTGCTGGGGTTCTGTACTCTGCTTCTCTATGAGGTTAATGCTACAGTTTTCTTCTTTATAATCTCTCAGTCTATGCATCTCCCAGGCAAGAGCCAACTTAGTGGCCACCTTCTTATGCTGCCTCCTAAACGATCTTGGTTTATTATGAATAATTTGTGTATGTTCTTGAGTAAATCCATAAACTTTGGATGTCTAGTGGTTTCTCTGGTATGGGCAGAGTGCTATGGCTCTGTAGATCATGAGATTGTTCAGTTTATAAGTTGATTATAAATCCATAACTTTGTATATAGAGAAATTTTTTGATTAATATAGACTTAGTACTTAAAAACGAACAAACAAATAAAAAACCAAAGGGGCTGAAAGAAGACAAGAATATATTTAGGATTAATTACAAAGAATTAAATTAAAAAATAGCCTTTGTTCCTTTTTAGAGACTTTTTAATTTGGCGATATTTTTTGTAGTATTAATCTAGTCATTCTGTTCAGATTCCTTTACCAATATCTAAGGAAAAAAATAGAATCTCTTTCCTGCAATAAATTTTAAAAATATGAATTTCTTTATCAAAACTATATAAATTATAAACATAAATGTATAAAATATAATAACTATAAGTATATAAATTAGTTTAACCCTATTAAGGTGAATAGCATACATAATTTATCTTGTATTTAGTACATAAATAACTCATTTTGATAATTGAACTGTATAATTACACAAATACTATAAATATATGAATAGTATGATCAACTAACTAAAAATTAGAAATTTAGACCGTAATTTTATATATGGTTCTGTAGCTGAACAGATATAGATACCAAATGTAAACACTGAGCGCTATCTATTTGGACAATAAGTTAAATCAAGAAGAAATGGGGTTGCCTTATGAAGACACATATGTCCTGAGAATTTATAGGTCCACACATTTGAGGGGATTCTTCTACTTAGTGTGTAGAGTGAGAGAAAGAAAAGCCAACAAGGATATCCGTGGGAGCAGAGTGAACAATGCGTGTACAGTTTGGAGAAGGTGTTAGTAGGAAGCAGACTGAAGAAGAGTTGGCCAACAATATCAAGTAAGTCAAGAGTATAAAGATCGAAAGTGGAGAGGAACCAAGGTGGTTGCAATGCACAAGGCTCCTGCAGGCAGCTACAAGCTGTGAATGAGTTGAGTCTCTCTGGTACCTCCAGGCTTGGGGTATCCCACACCAGGCTGCTTCTGCTACTCCTCAGAAGCTATGTGTGGCTCAGTGAAAGAATGAGAAATGCCACTGCCAAGCTGGGTACATCCTTTCTCAGGAAGGAAGTCCCAACAGGGGAACTTTCATGAGGATGCACTACAAGAAATTCATTACAACACACACTGGTTTGGAAACTGTTCTAATTTAATTTCTGTTTCTGTGAGAAAATCTAACTTTGAAGAGAAAAGGGTTCATTTGGAGAAAGAGGTTCATCTCGCTTAAAGTTCCACCACAGCATCCAAGTCACAGTAGCAGACACTGAAGCAGCTGGGTCACACTCACAAGAGCAGAGAGTGAATGCTATATACACTATGACTTTGCTTACATGGTTGTGCTCAGCTGTTTCTCCACTCTTACATAGTTCAGAAATCTCTGCCTAGCAAATAGTGTTGCACACAGTGGATTGGTCTTCTTTCATCAATTAACTTAATTAAGATAATTTCCTACTGACATGTCCACAGGTAAACCCAATGCAGATATTACTTTATTAAGACCCTCCTTCCAGGTAATTCTAGGTTATGTCAAGTTGACAATGAAAGCTAGCCATCACAGAGACCCTCTTAAAACACAGCTATGGATGCATCAGACAGCCTTGCTCACATCATGGCTTTGATGGGACTGCCCGTGATAGTACAGCCTTTGCCTTTAATTCAACATAAAAGAAAATTTGGAAGGTGGCTTTAAGTAATGGCTTCCGTGTTAGTCAACTTTCTTTCCTTTAATAAATGCCATAGATGATGTCTTATAAGAACAAATATTCACGTGGCTCACAGCTTGGAAGTATATGATCTATGTTGCTAAGCTGTATGTTTTGGAGGCCTGTCATAGGTTGGCTCATTAGGGTGGAAGGATTGGTGGAGGAAAACCACACTTGTGACTGGGAAGTAAAGCAGAATGAAGGGACATGGTTCTATTCTACATGGTCTAAAGACGAACCATGTTGCTCTGCACAGGAAGGGTTCCATTAGATTCTAGTGGTGTCCCCCTGTGAAACAAGTCTGTAACAGAGGAGGGTCTGGGGAACATTCCATATTGAAACAATGGGAGCTTCTTTCTCGATATTTATAAAAACCAATGTAGGTGTATATAACTCACATATGAACATGTAACATATATATGTGTATGCTATCTACATAGTAAGCTTCATTTCTTTATATGTATAAATATATAGGTATATCTGAGGTAGTAACGTATATAGCTCATTGAAGACTATAAATAATTCAATTTCAAGGCTTTTTTTTATGCAAGCAAAATGTGTGGTTATGTAACTTCCTGTGTTTGTTTGCTTCTAGGGATTTTAGAAACAGGAAAAGTGTTTGGGCCAATAATTGGACTTTTGTTGGGATCCTTCTGTGCAAGAATTTATGTAGACACAGGATCTGTGAATATAGGTAACACAATGCATTTTATTTATACAGCCCGGTTCCTAGAGTCTGGGAGAATGTTCAGGAATGCTGTACCTCTGCCTCCTTTGATCCTTAGATAGGTAAATTATAACCACTTACCGACGGCAGACCCAAGGGGGCCAGGGGTAAGGGTAAAAAGCCCCATTCTGATTTAAAATCCACCATTCTCCCACCATAGCTCAGCCACAGTTTGGTTTAAAGTTTACTTCCATTTTTTTTTTTTTTTTTGCAATGAGGCAATCACTATGGCTAATAAAACAGATCTTTCAGTAATGTGATAAGCCCCAATTTATAAAAGTTCCACATGACAAATGGATCATTTACTTCTGCAAAATATATTACCAGATACTGCTAGATAAAATTATTTTTTGTTGAATACACAAAATACAAAAATTATTGGATAACATATAGTTTATGCTATTGTCTTTATATATGTATATGTTTATGGTTGTGTGTGTGTGTGTTTGTCAGTGTTTAGGTATATTATTATGTACTATGATTGTGGGTATGTACTGAAGTCAGAACATGGTATTAGATCTCCCAAAAATAGAGTTACAGGAAGTTGTGAATTTTTATATGGGTGCTGTGAATAGAACTTGGGACCTCTGTAGGAGCAACAGTAAACTCTTAGCCACTGAAATTTCCTTCCAGCCCCCTTCTTCAACTACTGTGGTGTTTTGAGACGTCAGGTTAAAGCCGTCTCCTTGAATATGTCTCAAATCTTGTTTCTGTCATTTGAAATGTAGTTTTAACTCTTATCCATGTAGCACTCTTTTCTTCTTACTTTAACTCCACCCAATTGATTAATGTCAATTTTTCTAAAGGTCTAAATTAGATCCCAGTGGGATGGCAGAGGCCAATAATCTCAGCATTTAGGAAGCAGAGACAGAGGATCACAAGCTCAAATTCCATGAACAAGAATCAGAACAAATTGTGAATAGTTTACAAATGATATACAAAGTTGATGCTCAGATGAAATTGTGAATCTCTATAACTTTTTTACAGTTTACATAGGGATGAATGATGCAAGTTAATGCAATATCTGTGTTTCTTTACAGATGACCTGACCATAACTCCCACTGATACACGCTGGGTCGGTGCTTGGTGGATCGGCTTTTTGATCTGTGCAGGAGTGAATATCCTGGCCAGCATCCCCTTTTTCTTTTTTCCAAAAACACTGCCAAAGGAAGGGCTAGAGGATATTGTGGATGAAACTAAAAATGACAAAGAAGAGAAACAGAAAGAAAAAGCCAAAGAGGACCACCAAGGGATTACTAAAGGCAAACATGAAAACTTTAAACTCTATTCAGTTTAGACGGGTCTGTGGTCAGTGGTCACTTGTCAGATGCTGAGTTGAGATAGTTTGTCACTAATCATCACTACTCAGTTGTGCTAAATGTCTTCCACAGTCACTACTCAGAAACAACTGACATGATAGGGAACCTGACTTAAATGACTTAGATTAGACTCTATTAAAAATTCAAGTCAGTCTGAACACCCAATGAGCAAATATATTTTCCTATCTTTTTTGCTTAATTTACAGAAATATTACTTCAAGTCGAAAACATGAATAGCCAGAAATTCAGGATAAAGAGAAAGATAAAAATCGGTTTGATAAGGAAAATGTTTAGCTGTGAGCATCCTTGAAGTCAAGGGTGAAAGGGAAAACATGATAGGTGACATAGTCCTCTGTATTTGAAGGCGTATGTAGTTTACAGGACAACTGTTCCCTTAGAACTGACTATTTTAAGACAACCGGGAATGTTACTAAGCATCAATGCAGAGTAGAGATGTTTCTGTGAGAAGCTAAGGTGGGATAGCGGAGTGTTCAACAGTGCACATTCTTAAAACTTGGCACTGCTTTCACAGTTTTGTGTGTTGAGACCTGTGTAGTGTTCTCCTGAGATCAGAGATAGTGCATAAGGGGCATGGTTTGGGCTATGGAATTCTTAAAGTGTATAGTTGGAAGATGGGAGGGGTCAGTGCTTTACCTGTTAAATGAGGGTAAGAGTGTGTTACATTCTTGAGTGACGTTCTGTACAGACAACTGTGGGGAACACCTTACTGATGAGATTGCTATTTCCTCCATCACTCTTATCCTTCAACACCAATGTGCACTGAATGGTCACACATCTGACTTAAATACGACAGACCTTGGCTGAGGAGCCAGTGTCTGCCAGTGTCCAGGCTTAACTCTTCTTAGAACCATAGCCATGGTAAAGATTCTTTTGAAAGAGCTAATATTGACTGTTCTGTGTGTGACAGTGTAGTCTGCCAGATCCACCTAATTTTCAAAACTAGAACAGAGCTTAGCAGAGAATAAGAAATAGAAAAAATGACTGTAAACTGTGGAGACTCATTTAGGAGGCCAGGGATGTCAACAAACATGGACAAGTTCAAAAGCTTCCAGGAATACTTACTGCAGCCATCTCACTCATAAAGATGGGTTTTGCCCTTAGAGTCTTTTCGTTAAACTGCTTTGCTTCTATTTCTAAATGGTGTCATCTTGATAGTTTTCTCTCAATAAAATTTTAGAAAATTTATGAAGGGTTGTATAAAATTAGCAAGTCAAGACATAGACCTGAAGACATACAGAGAGAAGAGAATAGTATGTGTGAATTTCAGACAGGCTATAAACTTGACTCTCACTTCTTAAACAGGGAACAGTTTTGGCTAAGTCACTCAGAAGGTGCTTGATATACACCCAATGAGTCAGCATTCCTCATAGTGAGATCTTTATATTGAGCTGTTTAAAATTATCACTAGGTGATTTTAAGGTATGGTCTGTTGTGAAGTGCTGGTAAGATGCTGTGGTTGTCTGGGCAACAGTATTCCTGCAGCCTTCCTAAGCTGGTAGTGTATCTATGCTTACATCACAGAGTGATAGCATCAATGTTTATACTCAACCTTTATAAAAGCAAGTCTCTTGCAGATTCCAGAGAACAGACTACTCATTCTCTGGTGTATGAAGCATATGAGTAGAAAGAAAGGAGAGAAAAAGAAATGAAAGTCTGGTCACAGATTTGAATCCATCTCCTTATAGTTGGCATGCTTGCACAATTGTGTTCTGGTTCACGTATAGCCCATTATGTCACTAACTTCAAAGTGACTAAAGCAATGACATAGAACCCCAAAGGGGTAAAGATCTATCAAGTGTATTTGTCTCATAGCACAGAATCTGTAACATGATTTTAGGAAAACACTGGACATGAACCAAGTTAGCTCTCTTGTTTCAGATTTCTTGCCATTCATGAAGAGCCTCTCCTGCAACCCAATTTACATGCTTCTCATCCTTACGAGCGTGCTCCAGATAAACGCGTTCATCAATATGTTTACCTTCTTACCCAAATACCTGGAACAGCAATATGGAAAATCGACTGCAGAGGTAGTTCTTCTCATAGGTATGTACACTCATGACTTCTTTCATAGAATTTCCCCCTCCCGTAATAGCATGGTAAACACTAGACCCAAGGGCATGATAAACAGTAAGATGATGGGACTAGGTGATGACAAGAAGATTGAAATCCGTTAGGATACTCATGTAAATTTCTTCTTTGAAGTCTCCAGGGAAATCAAGAAAGGATAGGGAAAAGAAGTGATCGGAAATATCCTCCCTGATCTCTCTTCAAGCAGAATGGGAAACCATCATAGTTACTGAAATCTTGGGGGAAGCTCTATCAGTTAATTTTCACACAGGCGACATGTTAATTCAAAGAGGAATGGAGAGTTAACTCACTGGGCTTCTATATGTTACTTGCACATTGTACATCTGGGCTTCAGTTCTTGCTCTCCACGTTACTTGTAATTCAGTTGCTCAGACCACGTTACTCTGATGAGTCTGTGCAGCCACACTTTCTTTTTCTTGCTACTACACTAATTCCAGGGATCTCACTTTTCCCTTGAAAACTGAGGATTACAGGCTGGCACCATCTACATTATCTCGAATTCTCTGAAAGTCCAAGTCCCAGACCTCACCCTCAAATGTACAAAATTAAATGCAGTGGTGTGGAGCTGCAAAGGATGGTTAAATTCTTCTAATCCTGGGACTGGGCTTGTGTGAATCCACCCTATGCAGGGTCTTCTGCTCTCTTCTCCTCTCCTCTCCTCTCCTCTCCTCTCCTCTCCTCTCCTCTCCTCTCCTCTCCTCTCCTCTCCTCTCCCCTCCCCA